TGTGTCTCAGCTAGAGGTCCCAGGATCTTTACTAAGCCCTGGTTAGGCATCTGGGCTGGGAGAGGACGGTTTCTTAGCACCCTTATTACCTGTTCTCACTTTAGAAACTTAAAGAGTTGACAGCATTTTTAAAAAGAATGAAGTCTCAAAGGAAATTCTAGTGTATACTTTAAAAGCCCAGAGTCATAATAGTTTCCTCTCATGGTTTCTCGTGACTACTTCTACTCTGTCTAGACATTTAGCAGCACTTGAAAAGAACTAGATAAAATTAAAGCAAAAAATGTTAATGTTAATCTAAAAAAAAGGAAAAAGGACTACAAAGAAGGAGGAGCCTGAGGTGGCTAAATGTGGGATACTTTGTATAGTGAGCACCTGGTAGTGTTGGAAATAGCGGCAAAGTAGCAAAAAGAGGATGTTGATGATGTTCAGATAGGCACAGGCTATTCCTTTGTAAACTTGGCTCAGATGTATTCTTCTAGCTATCCTAAGAGTCCTATGGGGCTTGAACATTTTGTAGCAATTTCTGTTCTGAAGGTGCTAGTACCCTGGTGCCCCCAGTCCTGGACATTTTCATGGTTTGAGGCAAGTACCCAGAATTTAAAGACCTAGGTTTGAGTTCTAGCTGGGCCACTCACTGTTAGTGTGATCTTGGACAAATCACTGACCTTCTGTGAATGRCATCCTTTAAATGGCATCCTTTAAACCCCTACATCATAGGATTGTTGCAAGAATGTACATATACACTCAGGCATTTTGTCAACAATAAGGCTTTTTAGGAACCATATTGTCATTCTTGGGGAAAGTCCCAATTTGAACATTATCAAAGGATGAAACCATCTTTCTTTTTTTCTTCACTCAGTATAGCTGTTTGGTCAGAAACAAAAACAGGGTTTTGATATCAAGTTTTCAGATTTTGGCTTCTTTGGTCAAAGAGAGAGAATGCTCATGTGCAACTGCTCCGTCCATAGATTCATGGGCAGAATGGCAGTGAACAAAGGAAAATTTTAAGCCAGCATATTTCAGAGTTAGGGGACAAAGAGGAGAATGCTTATCTTGTATGTTCAAATCATGGGAAGCTAAAATATTTTAGGTAAATGAGGAAACTCTACTAAGATGCTCAGAGATAATTTAGGCCATGAATGAGAAGTAGGGGAAGGAGCTTATAAATTCTTTCTCTCCTTTATCTCTTCTACCTTTTGAGTTAGGATTTGGTGTATTACTCACATCCCAGTGGCTACTGCCTGAAACCTGTCAATCACCCAAAGAAAAAACAGTTTCTGGGAAAGTGTTCAGTGCAACTGTGACACATTTACCCTAGTGAAGTCACTGCTTGGTCTCTTTCACTTCCTTTCTCTTATGAACATCATCCCTAAAATCCAAAACCATTCTGTTTTCTAACCCAATAAGAGTTTTAAACCAGTCATAAGCAGCAGGCCATGCAATTCTACATACCTCATGCAGTCACAGGAAACTACCCCACCAGAGCACGAGGATGTGTATCTTACTGTCTCCAGCATGAATCAGCCTTAAGCTGTACTGCTTCAGCCACTCTGCTTAGGTGGCAGTTCTCCACTCTTGATGTCTTCTCTCCATAGCCATTCGGCCTCATTCCCCCGCTACCTCCTGGAGGAGTACCAGTTCCCATGCAGTTGCCTGCAGCTTTGTAACTTGGTTACATGCAGCTTTGTAACTTGTAAGTTGCATGCAGCTTTATAACTTGGTTACAGCTGTACCCTGTTCTTAATACACTTTTTGAAGGATTTGTTGAAAATCTAGTTGCTTTTGTGGGGATTGGATGAAGGGACATGACTACAACTTCCATACAGAGAGAAGCTACGTGTGCATCCATATGTGTGCACCTCCTGTATGCCCATGTCTGTGTGCTTTTTGCATGTGTATCTTCGTGGTTGTGCTTGGGCTGACACGGCAGAGTAAAAAGAAAGCATCACTTTCTTATTTTACCACATTGCTTCAAAGATGCCCAACCCCCGTAGCAGCAGGCAGTTCCCAAGTGGAGGGTGGGGGCAGAGGCCTCCACCAAGGCCATCAATAACCAGGTGTGAGCTACAGGTCTCTGTGTAATGTGAAGCTCTCCCGTATTTCATTTCTGCACCCAGGGGGCGGCTCTGCAGGATTGCTTACGGAGAGCTCTGTGTCTGGCACCTCTCTCCACTAGGCCCAGGCGCCCAGGGTCCCACCGACCTGCCCAGGAATGCATCGCATTGTTCTCTGGTGCTGTAATTTGGCTGCAGGAGTTAGGCTGAATGCCTCCCCAGGATGAGAAACATACTCTCCCTAGTGTACTCCCTTCTCCCCAGCTAGCTTGGGCTTCTGCCCTATGACCACTGAGAGCATTTAAATAAAAAACTCAGAAAAGGCTAAGGAAAAAAAAAATCCTGATTATCTGTCTTTTATTAARCTATGTAGACTCTCATGTCCTGAGTGGGTCTGAGAATTTGGCAAAGGACTTAGTGGTTGGTGTTCTTGATAAGGGATGTGAAAGAAAAAAATATTCTCTGCATCAGGGAGGAGTAGAAACAAGGCAGTGTGTATTCATGAGTTAGATCCACAAAACTTTAGGAACAGACCCTCAGGGCGATATTGGATTCTTTTAATTAATCTGAAGTCCCTGATTTCATTTTACTAACATTCCTGTAAGAAAGAGTGTGGATTAGTGCCATTATTCAGGCTAATAACAATAAAAGTTGGCTCTTAACTTCAAGGCTAGGTAAGTTAAGACTGGCATTCTTATTTTACTTGTTACAGACTGTGCAGCTGAGGTACTTTAGTAACGTGCCTTCTCTAAAAAGATACTCAAAGGATAGAGATAGTATTTTTAAACTTCGTGTCCAAATAGCACTTACTACAATGCATTATACCTAAATATTTACCAAAAGTTAAAGGAAATAAGAACCAACAAGGAGAAGTGGGAGACATGAGAGAAGCTAGGATGCTGCAGATGGTACAGACTGCTGTCAAATATGGGAGGGATGGGAGAGGGGTTGCTTAGAGACAGAGTGGAGGAGTAACAGAAATGGAGTCTTGACCACACCAAATAAAGTTCTCATTTCGTTGCTTGTTCCAAATAAATTAGTTTGTTTGTATAGTGCAGAACGAACGCCAGTTGTCTAAAGCTAATTGGAATGCAAAAGCAAATTAAGGACTAAGAGGAAAAATTTAATTGCTTAGCCATACAGCTTCTGTATTGGGGCTGAAATAGATATCTTTTCTTTTGCTTATCCTTCTCACTCTCTGGACAGCTTGTTCTCTTAACCAATTATAGGAAGTTGCAAAATCTGCATCTTTGTAAGCTAGAATTTGGAGCTCAGAGAAAAAAGCATAGAGTAATATGAGATGCCAGAAGAGGTCTACTCACTTCYTTTAACAAGGTAAGAACCAAAAATCAAAGAACCAATAATAGGGCACAGGAAGTTTTTAACTCAGGTTGACTTCTCTTGAAAGGCCTATGCCATCTTTAATGTGGTATCTGGATGTTCTTGAAAGAGCAGGGCTGGCTGGGACCTGAGGCTTTTCTCAGCAGTCTGGTATACATGGCAGTATTAGTGAATCCATTCAACGTTGTTCCTGAGTTTAGACTGGCCATGGCCCCCTTTACCTTCTTACTATTCCAAATCTTTCTTCCTCTTAATCCCAGCCCAAGATGTCAGAAACTTTTCTTCCCACCCCCTATCTAATCCCAACACTGGTTCACCAGTTATCCAGTTGACTCCATTCTGCAAGGAAGACATTCCCTTGGCCTGACTCACTCAGTCCCATTTCTCCACAGGCATCCCTTCACCGCAGACCACAAAGACCCTGACTAGCTCATGTTTTGTGTTAATGGATTTGAAATTGGAGCAAATCTCCTCACCAAAGAAAAACCACCCTAAACTCTCCCACACAGGTCTCAGCAGGTTACATAAATATTAGTCCTATCATTGAAATAAATCTGCCCCCCAAGGTCCAGAACTGTGGCTCTCCCAACTTCCTGCTGCCTCTACAGAGTGATGTTGCTCCACAAACATATGAGGACCCTAAGGGATGTGGGAAAGGAACTTGGGAAAGGAAAGGGGGTCTATATCCAGATTATTTTGTAAGCCCCTTGGTCTATAGTCTATTGTAAGACCATGCATTCCTAAATTAGAAGTCCCTAGAGAAGTCATGATGAGTTTGACCCATCTGGGGCTTTGGTGAAGAGTGTCTCAATAATTCAGTCGGTACATACCCTAAKTTTACAAAAATAAATTTTACAAAAGTAGAAGCTCAGAGAATTTAGGGATCTTACTGAAAATACAAAAACCAATAAGTGACACAACTGTGATTTTAACCCAATTCTTCACTGAAAGTTCCTATACCACTCTGCTAGTTTAAAATACCAACAGGCAAGAGATAACCACTAAGTCACATAAAATTAGGTTTGGGGGACGCTGTCCATTATTAAACCTGCTATCTCTAGAGACTTCACTACTACAAACCTAAGTCAGGCAACAGGTAGTAGCATGGAAGGAATCCTCCCCTATTTAAGCCAAATGTGGAGTGAATATTAATCACCACTAGGACTTGGAGAATCACTAAATAAAGATTTGTTGAGTAAATGGGGGAAGGCTATTGCCTTCTAAGATATTTATCATTTTGGCCTAAGCCCCAGCTCTATTTATGTATCCAGTGACTCCTGCCCTTAGATTCAAAAGTTAGGATCCTCTCCTAAAGAATTACCAAAGTTAAGCTGGGCATAGTGGCGTATGCCTGTGATTCCAACTACTCAGGAGGTTGGGGCAGGAGGATCACAAGTTGGAGGCCTGCCTGAGCAACTTAGTGAGAGCCTGTCTCAAAAAAAAAAAAAAAAATCACCAAAGCCATAGATCACTACCTTCCTAGTGTATACTGATGCCTCATGTGCCCTTGAGATCAGCTTTTCTTTACCCTTTCCCACCCTCCACAAGTTACCTACCTTTTACTTAGTGTTTCCCAAACCTAACTAACCTCCAGAATAATGTGTACTCTCCCAGTACTGTTCCAGGATGTTCTCAAGATCTGTTAAACATGGAAACCATTGCATGCCACCTCAGTTTGAACAGGCAACAAGTGAGCAAAAGAAGCAGTACTGTCTGATATAGGTAGAAAAGAAAAAGAATGTGTGTTTGTAGTCATATGATTTTTTCCCCTATAAAACACAACAGTTTATAATCATATGAGCACATGAATGGAACTTTATCCTCTATGGCTAACTCTAGTAATCTTAGGCTCTTGATAGTAGAATGCTTAGCCTAAGAGTATCTCTTGGAGAATCAGGCAGTCTGCTCAAACTGTCTTCAGGAAAGGATCATGCAGTATCATCTCTGTCCTGTCCACCCTCAGCCAGGGTAGGGTCAAAAGAAAGCTGTTTCCAGGTACCCTTTCTCTTACACATCCAAGAAGTATTAGAAACCAGTGCAAGGGAAAGGAAAAATGAGCCTTGACCAGGTACTTTAGTGCAACTCAAATCACTCCGAAGACCCCCTACTTCTTCTGCTCTCCCTTCAAACCTCCAAAGGGGAAATCAGGGAGCCACTCAGTTTCTTATATCCCCTATTAACTCCTTCCCAGGGCTAAGGAACCAGGACACCATAGTCCTCCTGGATTATTCTCCAAGTCCTTAAATAGAAGCTATGGCAGCCCAGGGTTGAGGGTGGAGAAAGGTGTGCATGCAAGGATCTTGTGCTTTTGAGTTGGGAGGCTTGAAGTGGAGGGATGGTGAGGTATCTGTGTGTTCAGGTCTGGTCCAGCCACTCTGCCTTCTTGGGGGCCTTGCAAGTATGGACATCCACAGTGTTTCTGCACTCCTTGCATCGCACAGCACAGCACCAGTGGAATTTGCACTCACACTGAGTGACACGGGTGACTCGAGTTGTGTCGTACCCTCGGCCACAGCACATGATTTCACAACCATCTGTTCCTTTAGATGTCTTGCTGCAAACACGACCTGCAGTGCCTAGGGAACCTGGGTTGGGAAAAAGACGGAGTGAAAACCAAGTTATCTCTTATTTCAGCAGCTCTGGACAACCTCATCCACATTCTCAGGAGGAAGCCATAAAGAATTCCTCTTCTAAAAATACATCCTCTAGCCAAAATGATCATTCCCTCATTGCCCTCTAAACCAGAGTTGTTATTTCCTACCATCAAGGCTCCTCAAAGGCTACTGATTTCACCTGCAGTTCTCTCCCTGCCAATAAACAATTTTTATATCCTTTTCAAAATATAACTTTAAATGTTCATAATTATTAAAGCGTGGTGAGGTTTTTTATGTTTGACATTTTCTATAATAAACAGTAAAACAGATGGGTGCCATGGCACACTCCTGTAATCCCAGTGGCTTGGGAGGCTGAGGCAGGAGAATAGAGTATTCAGAGCCAGCCTCAGCAACAGCAAGGTGCTAAGCAACTCAGTGAGACCCTGTCTCTAAATAAAAATACAAAAAAGGCTGGGGTTGTTGCTTAGTGGTTGAGTGCCACTGAGTTCAACCCTCAGTTACCCCCCACCAAAAAAAATAAAACAATAGCCAGGCATGGTGGTACATACCTCCCTACTCAACTGAAACAGGAAGATTACAAGTTCAAGGTAAGCCTGGGACTTAGCAAGACCCTGACTCAAAATAAAAAATAAAAAGGTCTGGGGAATGTATTTCGGTGGTAAAGTGGTTTGGGTTTAATCCCCAATACCTCACCTCCCTCCCTCCAAAAATATCAGTAAAACAACAACCGCAATAAAAACTGAGACTATAATTTATCTCTTCTAAGACATCTTACCACAACTGTAATCTTGATACCATTTTTTAGTACTTTGGACCTTGGTTTATATTTTATTAAATTGTACTATACTACTATACTGAGAAGAATTATAGAGTGTGGCCATTAAAAGCGTGAGCTCAGACTTCAAATTGTCTAGATTCAAATACCAGTTCTGCCACTTCTTAGCTGTGTGACTTATCAAGTTAATTAATGTCTCTGGGCCTTAGTTTTCTCATTATGTAAATGGAAATAATAGAAACATCTAACTTAGGGGATTATTAAATCTATAATCTCTGTTCAGATAAGGAGGTGCACTGATTAGCATGACTGGTTGAAGACTTATCTCTAAGGAGTTCCTAATGAATATTCTTTGTATGACCCCTTATAGCAAGAACTTCCTTTTTAAGTATTTATTTTTTAGTTGTAGGTGGATACAATACCTTTAGTTTATGTATTTTTAATGTGGTGCAGAGGATCGAACCCAGGGCCTCGTACGTGCTAGGCGAGCACTCTACTGCTGAGCCACAACCCCAGCCCATAGCAAGAACTTTTTGAAGGGTAAGAATACCCTTGAATTCCAGGCCCCACTTTGAGTTTTATGAGACCTAATTTTAKGTTTTCCTCCTGCATAGGGAATGCTCAGGACTGTATTTTGATCAATTGCAAAAGAGATCCTGTCAACAGAAAAATTAAAGTCAGAATTTTCTATGGGTTGGACCTTATTAATAAGGACCAAGAGATGAGAAATGACTGGCATGGAAGTTCAAAAAAGAGAATGGATTAACTAATTTAGATAGCAGTAGTATTCACATTCCTCTGGAATATAGGGAAAAGATGCTAGAACTTCTCTATTGGTATTTTATCCATTGGTTTAAAATTTCTATTTTAGGGATATATATTATGCATATTTTATTATATATGAGTATAGTGAAACAATAGATATAAGTAAATAGTAAATATGAATATAATGGAGGTACATGCTTTTTTTTTTTTTTTTCTTTCTTGGTACTGGGGATTGAAACTAGGGGTGTTTAACCACTGAGCCACATACCCAGCCCTTTTTCGATGTTTTTTTCCTAGAAGGTCTCTCTGAGTTGCATAAGTGCCTCACTAAGTTGCTAAGGCTGGCTTTGAACTCGTGATCCTCCTGCCTCAGCCTCCCAAGGCACTGGAATTACAGTTTTGTGCCACTGCTCCTGGCTCTTTTTTTCTTCTTAATGATTAGAGTATACAACCCCAAATGTCAGGAAATCACTGCTCTAGAGTTTGGGCTGACTAGGTCATTTATATGTATTATTCTTCCTTCTTTCTTATCTCTCTCTCTCTCTCCCCCTCTCCCCACCCTTCCTTCCTACCTTTCTACCTATATTATTTTACATATATGTTAGTCTCATAATTCCAATGGCTCCTAGGATGAGCTGTATACTTTGTATTCCAGGCCCCACTTTTGAGTTTTATGAGACCTAATTTTATGCCACAGAGGGAAACTAACACACATATGACCTATCTTCCCTAATTCCAAAGATCCTTCCTTAAAGATGCATTTTAGGTAAGGCAAAATAAGCTTACATTCAGGAGGTTGAGGCAAAAGGATCCCAAGTTCAGGGACAGCCTGGGCAACTTAGCAAGTCTTTTTCTCAAAATTAAAAATAAAAAGGGTTGGATATATAGCTTAGTGATAGAGTGCCCTTAGGTTCAGTCCCCAGTACTGCCAAAAAAAAAAAAAAAAAAAAAAAAGGCTTACACCTCAGATGTTATGGAATCATTCCCAGGCATCTGGAGATTAACCTCTGAATTAGACCAACTGGAAAACTCACCTAGTGGAGGGAACTCAGTGTGGCAATCAGCAGGGCTTGCCCAGCCTTTCTTTTAGCACCCTGCAATGTACACATACTTTCTATGTTTCTCTGGTAGAGCTTTACCCTGTTTCTGCTCAGTTTTACTCCGGCCCCTGCCTCTCCAGGAAGGACAGTGATGAGTAAAAACAAACAGTACAGAAGACAGCTGAGGTTTTTGGCTCTACCTCACCAAAGTTCTGACTCCTGAGTCTGCAGAAAAAAGCCTGGGAGCTCCATGACAGTCACCAGAAGAGAAGCAGTTCTGTTACACTGCATGTTATTCCCAGTTTAACCCATCTAAACCAGAAACTACAAGCCAGGATACAGCTTCCACTTCGCTGAAGTACCTTTCTAGCATTCCCAAAAATTCCACCACAATTATCTACAAGAGACTGAAAAACAACAATTTTCTGCCTGGTACCAGCCATTTGTTACTTTTTAGGTAAAGCCTTCAGTGTGGATCTCCTCTTTCCTTGTTTCCCTGACTCCATTTTAGAATGTTAAATGGTAGTACACTAGATGTAGCTTTTCAGTATCATTTATGATCTGGTTCCTGCTTATCTTTCTACCTTTAATTCCCCTTGCCAGAAACATTTACTCAGTAAGATTGATCTGCTCTGTCCCTGAACCAGATCATGGGCTTTCTCTATCACTCTGTTCCTGTGCACAGTATCTATTCTTTTTCTTTATTTTTTCTCCCCAGTACTGGGAATTTAACCTAAGGGTATTCTACCACTGAGCAATATCCTTAGATCTTTATCCTTTTAATTTTGAGATAGGGTGTGACTCAGTTGTCCAGGCTGGCCTTGAACCTGGGATCATCCTTCCTTGGCCTTCTGAGTTGCCAGGATTATAGGCCTGCACTTTTGCACCCAGAATCTGTCTAGTCTTCTCTCTAGCTATCCAGAGAATCCTCACCCTTCAAAGAGCAGCTTAAATTCTATATTTTCAAATAAACTTTTCTTAGTTTCAACTGTCATCTCTCTTTGTAGTTGCATTTGCTTACCCATTACACACACACACACACACACACACACACACACTCACTCTCACTCTCACTCTCTCTCTCTTTCTCTTTCTTTTTTCGGGGGCAGTGCTGAGGGGATCAAACCCAGGGCCTTGTGTGTTCTAAGCTAGGCCAGTGCTTACCAATGAGMAACATCTCCAGCCCTAATCTCACTTTTTATTTAGCTAGACTGCAAAGAGGCAAAGGCTTGGTATCTTGTGCTTCTGTGTAGCTCACATATTTCTCAGAACTGAAAAAACTTACTTAAACATCTTGTGAGTGTGCCTACTATATCCCTGATGCTGGGAACACAAAGGAGCACTATGTGGCCCCAGGCCTCAAGGAGCTAATGACCACCTCTCAGTGTAGGTAGCATTGGACCAGTTTCATGACCAGGTTTTCACTTAGGGAGGAGACTGAATCCTCCTATAGCATCTTCTTACCTGATTCCTGGGACTGAACAAACCATGATTAACCAGTGATGCCTGTACCAAGAACTTGGACTCCATGTCTCTGCCCATTTCACTACTCACCTGCAGCTTTGTCCAAGACACAGTAATCTGGGGAGTTGTCAAAGTAGACAAGATCAGTCCGGGTGGCACGGCGATAGCCTTGGCGGGCTGCTGTGAAGTTGGCACCATCCTGGGTGGCCGTCACCTGCACAGCCCCATCATAGCGCCGTCGCAGATAATCACCTGTGCGGCGGAAGTCTGACAGTGCACGCCAGCAGGTGCGCAGAGTACAGGAGCCGCTCACACCATGGCACTTACACTCTAGCTTCAGAAACCGCCGCACAGCCTGGATGGGGGGAGGAGGCAGGTAAAGGAGAGTCACTGGCCAGGGCACTTTTTAGACATCCCTAGGGCCAAAAGAATGAGTGCTCTATGATCTGCTGGCCCTGGCCACCTGGTCAAGCCCTTAGTGATTCTCTCCCACATCAGATCCCACCCATTCTTCCTGATCCAGTTAAAGAAACTCCTCTTCTAGGAACCTCCCTGGCCAATAGTACTTGTTATGACAGCCTATTGGATTATAGAGCCACAGGTTCTGCTCACGATTACAATGTGCTCACTCGTCCTGTAGTTTTCACATTTTAAAGTATCAAGTACCATACCTTCTGCTTTTGTAGTGTGTTGTTTTCCAGCACTTTATGTGTTCATATTACCAGTGAACAGGCTAGAACAACCTCTTATTTCCTCAGTCTTTATGAAGGTAGTTCTCATCATCTTTGAAAAGTTACTTTCCATCTATGTGGAAACCCGGTGGAATCTAGGCATTGCCAAGCTCCTTTGCATTTAGTACTCCCCTTTATGGGATGTTGGGGCTTATGAAGGAAATCCAGAAAYCTTCAGCTCTTCTACCTTCACATTTAGTCTATGGTTACACAAACTGGTCATCCCCAGCAAATATGAATGTACACACAGAGACATGAATACTAACCGTGCGACCACAGCGGTTATTATGTAAGTTCATGAGGGCCCGGGCGTCCTTAAGCCTCTTCTCCTTGGCATCCACAAATGCCTTAGCAAAGCGGACACCATAGTGGATGTTGTCACTGCAGCCACCCCAGTCAAAGTCCCCACGTTGGTCATGGTGTCGACCACGGGTATAGGGATCACAGCTGCACACGCTTAATTCACCCTGGCTACAGGCACGAGTGATAGCGTGGACCACCCCTGCTGATGAGATGGCATATACAAATGCTGCTTCCCGGCTACCTAGAGAAAGGTAGAGGCATATCAGGAAAGAGGTCCACGTCTGTCCCCTTCTTGAACCTATCCAGTCTCAGATACCTCCTTTCCTCTCCTTTCCCAGAGCCACCCACTATATTCCCCTTATTCAAGGTGTCCTTCCCTTCCAAGAGCATTCCTCAGATTATGTGATCTCTTCCCTTAGCCCTCAGTATTCTCTACCCACTTCTTTGTACATCTGACTTGTTGGGCTGACTTTACTCTTGTTTCCTTCCAATTTTCTTGGGTCCTTCCATTGACAAGTCCCATGATGCATCATCCTCACCACTGGTACACTGGTATGGTTAAGCCTGCCTGCGTCCACATTCAAGGCTTTTCAGGCCCACACTGCTGGACAGTTCCCTTACTATCCGGACCCCAACCCAGGGGTCTGTTTAGGAAGATATGCTGCCTTCCCTGCCTGCTCTTGGGGCCTGATGAGTCGTCGTCCCTATACCCCTGACACCTCCAGATTCCCAACTCGTTCCCTTTCTCCTAGTTTACTGTCTAGCTCTGCTTAGCTTTGTGGCTGAGCTAGGGCCAAGCCACTAACTCTCCAAATATTTACATATCACCTTTCTGTTTATCTTTTGTTCCCATTACTGTAGTGTTGGGAGTGTTAGGGTGACTGTATCTCTGGTCTGCATCCTTATAGTACATGGATGTCCCCTCAGAATGGGGAATGGGGAGGGCAGAGAAAATGAGGGTAAAAGATGAAGATGCTAGGGAAGGCTTTACCTCTGTGCCATCATTCCAAACCACTGTGATTTAGAGGGGGCCCTGCCTACAAAATAATAAGGTACTAAGTGTCTGTTCCCAACTATATCCTGTGTTCTAATTATGAAGTAGTGTGGGAAGAGAGTAGGGAGGATCATACCTCCCCCTCCCCACAAGCCCTAAGCATACAAAGGGAAGGAGCTGAAGCAGGATGAAAGAGGCCCCTACTTCTGAGCATGACACGGCCAAAGACAGTGTGGTCCCGGTCCAGCGTGGTGCAGTTCCAGCGGTGATGGCGGAACTGGTGCTGACACTCTCGGATCCATTCTCGGGCACCTTCACCCACTGAGCGCATGATATCTGGGTAACGCTGGCACAGCTGCCGCTGCCGGCTCACCAAACCAGGGATATTGTCACAGATCACTCGGGCCCCTAGTGCCCCAATGTACCTGTAAGGTGGAGATGGCCCTGTCAGAGCATCCGATCTCTTTTCTGCATCAGGAAGGGGATAAAGGGGGGGAATGTTTTATATCTATATTAGATTAGATTCCTTGCCCTTCCCCCAACCCACATTCCCTGAGGCTGATGGGTAGAACCATTCCCCACAAGCTCTGAAGAAATAGTTACACAGTTTCAGAAAGAGTAATTGGTGGTCTCCCACATTACCAGTTCCCCAGCCAAAGGCCGAAGTGACACACACTCCCAGAACATAGGCCAGGCATGTGTCATATACACAGAAGCTGTGGGCATGTCACACAAACCCATTGCCTGTTTGTTTAATAAACATTAAAATCCTCACAGAAAAGTAAACTAACAAAACAAGGGTCTGAGACAACACTCTTAAACCCACATGAAGAGGAACGTCCCGAGTGGCTGGTCCATGAAGACAGGGGGATGGAAACAGGGAGGGATGGGCAGGAAGAGACATAGTGGACAATTTTGAGTAATGTTTACAGCTTTAGTTAGACTCATGTAGCTTAAAAAAAAAAAAAAAAAAAAAAAACCTCATTCCCAATATTTTCAATATTTTAGGGGAGAAAGACTCCCCCCACCTCCGAACCTCTCCCCTTTTATTTTTAGGCTCCAAGGCCTTCCTTAACTAAGGAAGATTTTAAAATCACTTGTCCTAGCCTATAAGGTACAATGCCCTGGATAGACCTGCATGAACAGAAAGCTGTGTGCAGTGGGAAGCCAAAAGCCAAGATAAAATACTCCAGTCCCCTGACTGTCCAGTTTGAGCAGTTATAAGAAGATAACTGAGATGGGCTCCTAAAAGATAGGCGGGTCACTAGAATCATTCATTCTCCAGTTTCTCAAGGCAGTCACTATTTTCTTTCAAATACTCTTGGCCCTGGACACCATCACAAACCTTGAGAAGAGCATTTTGCAGAGAAAACGGGTGTATCACCCTTTCTCCCCAAGAAGCCACCAAGAGTTCAGAGTYATTCACCTATTTCCTTTGGCTCAGCAGCCCAGCTCTGCTTCTCACTCCTATCTTTGCAATCCCATAGTACCTTTGATTTGCAGTCCACTCTCTGTTCTGTGCAAAACACCCCAGAGGGACACTCCCCTCTTCTGAACAGGTGGGGGCCATAGAGAACAGTTGCTGCTGCAGACAGAAAAGCTTTGGTCTGAGCTATGAATGAGCCAGTGGTTTGGGAACTGCCCCAAAATGGGTCTAGAAGTGGGTGAGGTGAAGGGAGGGCAGCCAGTGGGGGAAGGGAAAAACCAAACTGCCCTAGGCCCTGTGTCCCTTCCCCCCATGCATTCCCACAGCCAGCCCTCACCCACAGACTGGATCACCACTGGTGACACCAACTCAAACAAACACAGGAGGGCTGATGCTTGCCTCTTTGGGAACTCAGCAGAGCTGATGGGCCCCATCTGTCCTGAGGGAGGGGTGAGAGGCTGGCCCTCTTCTAACAAATCCCATGGAATCAGTGTCCCCAGCACTGTCCATCAGGGCTGCAGCTTCCAGGAACAAACAAAATAAACACCCCAGGCTAGGCCAGGCCGGAAAGGGCTGCCTGACGCACAGCCCTGAGTTACACCCACTGCTGTGGTGCTTTGTTTGGAGAATCAAGACGTTGGAGTTGGAGCTCTTCCCTGTCTTACCGCCTTTCTGCTTCCCCATAAGAGTACTGCTCTAGGCAATGGGTGTTTTTGGTTTTGGGGGGTTTTGCTTTGTTTTGCTTTTTTCCTGAGACTGCTTGGGAGGAGGGGGGTTGGATGGGAACGTGAGACCAATAATCCAGCACTCATGAGACAGACTGGAGTGGGGCAGGCCAAACTCTGGCGAAAAGGCCTTTCTGTGGTCTGACTTAAGTCCATTCTGCTGCAGCCCACATTGGTCCCTCTTATTACGTCCTCAGTGAGCGTGGGAACATCTGTTCAGAATCTAAGATGGCAAGATAATTAGATTTTTCTACTTACCCCACTAAGTAACTGCTTCAAGACCTTGCAGAGCATGGGGCTTGCCTGCTGGCTAGTAGTTGGCCCCAGTTGTCAGTGTGAGGGCTTCCAGTAATGCTAAGACTGAACTCAAGTCCATCTCTTTTCAGTTCACCACATGCTTACAAAATGGCTGCCATGTACCCAGCACTGAGTTCATCTGTTAGGGGCACACAGATGTTTAAGGCATCCCCCAGCTTAATGGTTTGGGAGAGGATGTTAGATGCCCCTAACTCTCCGGCTTTGTTTTCCCCTCCCAAAAGTAAATTCTTCACTTTCTTCCCTGCTTCCTATACCAGCATGCTCTCCCTTCACCTGCTTTTGACTAATTCATATTTCCTCTTGATTCACACTCTGCCCCAGACCCTTACTACTACTCAAAGTATAGTCCCTAGAGCACACAAAATATCTGCATCATCTGGGAATTTGTTAGAAATTCAAGCTCTACCCCAGGCTGAGTAAATCAGAGTCTGCATTTTCCCACAATCACGCAGATCCACGAAGGCAAGAATTCTTGTCTCTTGTTTTTATCTTCTCTTGGGACAAGATGATGCTGGCTATTGAACCCAGCACTTCACTCGTGCCAGGCAAGCCCTCTTCCATTGAGCCGTACTCCCAAGTCTTTGTTTTGTTCACATTCATATCCTCAGCACTGAGAATAGTGTCCAGCACATAGTAGGTACTCAGTAACTTTGTTGAATAAACAACTAACTGCTCTGATTTATCCCCAACTTCCATCTCCTTAGCTAGCCATAAACTTCATTTCAGTTACAGCTTTACTCCTTGTCAACACTGCCAGTCTATTTGCAGATGTTTTATGTTTGTGTCCTTTTAATGAGGCCAAAGATCCTCTTTTTTTCCTCTCTCTCTCCCCCTTTTGTGTAGATCTCTTAATACACATAGTTCAGCCACGCACATATAGGATTTTGAACACAGGAATAAAACTATTAGCCTCTCCAAATCTCTTTTTTTCTTTTCAAGGAACTGGGGATTGAACCCAGGGCTTTGCACATGCTAGGCAAGTGCTCTACAACTGAGTCACATCCCTAGCCCCCAAATCTGCTCTTAATACCACAGCATTTGTTAGTGCTTTATGGTTTGTGAGATATTTTTTTGTACAAAAATCCAGAGAGAGAGAGAGAGAGAAAAGTAAGATCCATTTTATAGGTGAAGAAACTGAGGTTCAGGAACAGTAAGTAAAACTATTCCACTCTATCAGGAGTAGTTGGAGAAAACCCAGGATAAACAAAGGCCATCTGGGGGTTGGGGTTGTGGCTCAGTGGTAGAGTGCTCACCTAGCAAGTGGGAGGCCCTGGGTTCGGCCCTGGGTTCGATCCTTGGCACCACATAAAAAATAAATAAATAAACAAAGGTATTGTGTCCGACTACAACTAAAACAAAAAAGGCCATCTGACTTGAAAGTCCAAGTTCTCTTTTATTCCAGGGGTAAGAGAGGCACACAGTGCTTTCTTAGGAGTAAAACACTTTGGCTTCAAGATTGGCATAAACTTAAGCAAGTTTCTTTCTTTTCGTACTGGGTTTTGAACCCAGGGACTTGCACATTCTAGGCAAATGCTATACCTCTGAGCTACGCCACCAATCCTTTCCTTTTATTTTAAGTCACCCAGGCTGGTCTCAAAACTGGTGAGCCTCCTGCCTCAGCCTCTTGTACAACCATATCTGGCTTGGGCAAGTTTCTTTACTGCTCCTCTCTTTTCCCTCACTTCRTTAATTTGTGTACCTCTCACTGGATTATTATTCTAGGGATTAAAGATGATACTTACAACGTGCTTGGCCATAGTTCCTGGAGTTTAGTAAGGACTCACTAAATTTCAAATGTTGGTCATAACTGTAATGCTAATATAATACCACTCTCTGTTTTTATTTATTTGTGAGCCCAGGAACATAGCCTTACTCTTTTGATCCCCTACATCCAACCCCCTACAACATAGAACAGGGAAGCACATGACAGAAGTCCCCTTTTCTTGTCTGTCATAGAATAAGAAGAAACCATCCATTTTTTCCTCTAATTAAGGGTAGAGGGAAGCAGGGAGTGGTTGGAGAGAAAGGAGAAGAATGTAGAGCTAGAAGGAAGAGCAGACTATCAGCTGGTAACACTGCTGTTAGCCTTCTCCACAGTGGAACAAGGACATACACTGAAGTCAGTATACATCTCTTCAAAGGGTYGTACAAAATATCAAGTTTGTTGGATTTTCCCTTGGATTTTCTCTTAAGGGAAAAAAAAAAGAGAATCACATTGGGGATCTGATCTGCCTTCAGACCTCAACTTTCCACCTTGTCCTAGAAGAGGAAACCACTGAGGCAGGCATCTGGGCCTGCAGCTGTGACAGGTGGAGGTCAAGGAGACTGAAACAACCTCTGCACCCACTCCCTCTGCTAGCCCTTTTGCTTTCTTCCTCCATTTCACAGGGACTGCTAAGTCCCTTTGTGTGTCACCTGCCTCTCCCTTCAGAGCTCTTCCATCTCAAGAATTTTTCCAAAATCTTTAATATGAACCATGTGGGGAAAGGGTAATAGAGGGAGAAAAGAAAAGAAGGGGAACAGCCAAGGATAAAAAAAATAGACTACAAACAATGCCCCTTGGGTCTTTAGGAAGCAGTAGCAGAATGTGAAATTGTCAGTGATTTCCTCAACTAAACACCAACTGGTCCCCAAGACTGCCTCCCACACTGGCAAGAAACAAGAGTTCATAAAACCAAATTGCAAATTGAGCTGCAAAACTAAATTTCAAATTTGAGCTGCAAAACCAAATATGCAAATTGAGCTGCATAAAGATGTGCAGTGGTCACTTCATGCTCTCATACTGTCTCCATAGGGATCCAGAAGATGTAAGTCCAAAGCTAAACTGATCCATGAAGGTAAAGGGTGGCTTTGAATTTCATTCTGAATAATTTAAAGACTTTTTTCCTGTCTCCCTTTTTCCCTTTCTCTTTCTAAAGGAATGTTTCAAGCCAGATGTAAGATATAGGCCGCCCGCTCTCCCATCCAGAACCCCCCTCCTTGCCTTCCCCAACACATCAGAGATAAAAAAGATCCAAAAGAGAATTTTCTTCTACAGGAAAACATGGGTGGGGGTGGGGATGGAGAGCAACGCATCTTGAAATGATAGGAATCTGCAGCCCAAGCTGGCCGGCCCCTCAGCCAGCTACCCTCTCCCCTTCCAGCCAAGATTCCAAGTCAAGAGGAGAAAAGCCACAGGGTGCAAGAGGAGAAGAGACCACAGTGTATGTGGGGGTGGGGGTGAGGTGGCCTGTTAGTTGCAAGGGAGGAGGAGCACAGTAAGAAAAGTAAGGGGGGGGGCACAGCATGGTAGAGGCACTAACCCAGTCCAAGAAGTCAGTTTGATGGGGGTGCAGGGGGGGGGGGCGGGTGACGGGTAGGTGAAGAGGAAAGATGAGAGGATAGAATCTTCTCAGTCCAACTCTTTCCCCTTGCCCTGCCCCTCCCCAAGGTGTGTGGTGGGGGCGGGGGCCTGCAGCTCTTTTTCCTGAGAGAAGGGTATAAGTGCCATCCAGTGCTTGGAAGCACGCGGAGATGGGTCAGTTGTGCAAAAACAGACATACAGTGGATTGCCCCCCCCCCCAACATACAGGGGATCTCTAACACCAGACCTCACACATGCTAGGCAAGCACCCTCTACCTCTGAACTACATCGTCAGCCCTTTTTATTTTGAGACACTAAAAATTGCTCATGCTAGCCTTGGACCTGCGATTCTCCTGCCTCAGCCTCCTGAGTGGCTGGGATTACAGGCTTGTGCTACCACAATGGCCATCCAATGGATTTTTAATGCCTCTTGCCTCTTCTGACCTCTTGTGAAGGTCTGGAGTCCAGGCCTGTGACAGATCTGAGGAGAGAGGGTATCTCAGTACTTTGGGATTCCAGAAGCCTCTGGGAGATAAGGTCCTCTGGATAAGGGGAAAAAAAAAAAAAAACCTAGGAAGACAAAGTTCCAAGTGATCTCCTCAAAGCCAAGGTTTAAGACAAATGCCCAGATTATGCAAATCCAAGTGTTTTGTTTGTTTTAATTGTGGGGATTAATGGGGTGGTTTTGCCTCGGTTTCACTTCTAAAGCTGGGTACTTAGGCGATTGAGGGCCCTGCGGAACAGCCACCTAAAAGGGGGTCTGGTTCGTTGAACTCAACGGATGGCAACTTCTGCCCTACAGGGCTTGAGTTGAATGGAATAGAGGGGGTACAGCCCATGGGGGCCTGGGGAACCTCAACTATGGGGTGTCCAAATGCCCAGCACCTTCCCTCACCAGGGGAGTAGGACACGGCGCCTCATTGCCCCCATACTCCACTCTGGCTACTTCCCGACTTCAGTTGACCCTACTGCAGGGACTCCCTTTAGTTCTGTCAAGCGACCTGGTCCCTTGAGCTGGCTGCGCAAGGAGCTGTATATGCCCTATTGGCGCCTCCAGCCTCTGACCCAACGCCTCATCCGCCCAACCCGAAGAGCCACAACTCACCACCAGGACGTGTCTACACGGGCCGGCAGAGTCAGCAGCAGCAGAAGAAGGCAGGCAAGACCTAAGCGGGCCGAAGCTGGAGAGACGTCGGGGAGGACGGGTCTAGGCACGGGCGCAGGGGCAAGGGCGCGGGCGCGCCGAGGGGCGAGCTGCGCGGCTTCCTCCGCACCACCAGGCTTCAGCATAGCTCCCCGAAGACGCCCGCCGCACAGCCCGCAGGGGCGTGGACGGGGCACAGTCTGGGGTTACTCAGGCTGCTCCTACCTCACCCCTCTGGGTGGCCATGGAGTTCGCAGTCGGTTGAGGACCTGCGGTCACGCGGAGTCCGAGAGCCGGGCGTGGGGTCCCGGAAAGATCGTAAGTTGCCGTGTCGGGAAATCCACGACGGGGCGCGGAGCCGGAGTCTTGGGGCGCGTTGCCAGAGCACGAGGTGCGGTGTCAGAGGTTCAGAGGCACCGTGTGGAGCTGCGGGGCCGAAAGTGCGGACAGCCGCTCCAGCCCGCGGGCTCTCATTGGACGGCGCGGGGCGGGGCCGAGACCGGGGACACGCGCGGCCTTCAAGGCGACTCCGCCTGCGCCAGACCCGGGCGCTCCGCGACACCCTAGGTGTGGCGGCCGCCTCCGCCTCTGGACTCTCCAGCGCGTCGCAGCGCTGCGCCCCCACCTGCTCGGGCGCCACGCGACCGAGACAGCAGCGCCCTTCAGCGCCCGTAGCGCCCAGTCCCTACTGATGCTGTGCCACCGGGTCCTAGCGCCCTTCGTTTGGCAATTTCTGCGGCTGTAGTTGATGGCAAGGCGTAGGGAATGGAAGGGGGTTGCAGACACTTCTCCCTGTTCCCTCACCTACAGTAACAGTGGAGCTGAGCACACAAGATGCACTCATTTCGTTGGGTCCTCTCCATCTTGCACTTCTGTGAAATGGGTAGAAACCCTGCCACCGGAGTTGCAGGAGAATCTTAACTCCCTTTTCAACACTGCCTACAGAGGTGCGGTGGGCATCTGGTTTCAGGTAGGGGATTCTCTGATTCCCTACATCTTCCGATCCACTGCACTGATCTCCCCTTTCACCACAACATTTAGACACAATGCCTACCCACCTGCCCCGCCCGGGTGCTTTCTCCAGCCTGGGATCGGGGAATCAATCAATGGCCGAAGCCAAGAAGGCACMCCTGCGGACCCGACGCGGACGCCCAGGCCCTTACGTCCCGTTTCCGCAGAGCTCAGTCTCTCCCCCAGTGTCTCGGTCCTCCACCCCCTCGGGCGGGGCTGCGAGTAGGAAAGAATCAGAAACAGCTGGGCGGTTTTCCCGCACCGGAGGCCAGGGTGGGGGTCCTGCTGAGAGAATGGAGGCCCTGGACCTTTTCTCCCCTTCGCCTTTCCACCCTTCCTGCGGGCGTGGTAAGTGGGGAAGTTCGGGAGGGTGGTCCTCTGAAAGCGATTCCGCTTTCCTCCTCCCTCTATCCCACCCCCGCACTTCCCAGGCTGGCAGGTAGAGCGCTGCGGGGTAGAGTGGCCCTTGTTGCGGTATAGAAACAATATATATTTTCCTTTTGTGGTACAGGGGATGAAACACAGAGCTCCGAGCATGCTAGAAAGCGCTCTGCCCCTGAGCTACACCCCTCAATCCCCTCCTCTTTTTTTCTTAAACTTTGAGACAAGGTCTAGCCAAATTGCTGAGGCTGGCAGGGAACTTGGGATCTTCTTGCCTCATCCTCTCCAGTAGCTGGGATGACAGGCTTGCGCCACGGACCCCCACTGYATACATTCTTTTTAAAGCTCTGGGCAGTCCAACTTTGAGAGTTCTTCTAGACCTACCCCTTGCTTCAGCCTAAGTTCTCCCGCCTAGCTCCCTCATTCCGAGGTGTCTTTCATGACTCTCCCCAGCGATTTATTTAAATTATAAAGTCCTGGTGTAAACAACGCTGGTAACTGCCCAACCCCAAACTCACCGTCTCTCTTCCTTTGTGGGGTGGGGGAGATAAGAGACTCCAGAGTGTTAGGGGACAGGGCACAGCTGGMTGCACTGAAGCTGCAGACATCTGAGTCAGAGCTACTGTAGGAGGGTTCACAAGGACCTTTGTCTCCTCTCTCCACTCTCACCCACTTTCCCTTACCCCACTTTCTGTGGTAAGGGGCAAAGTACATTCATCAATTCAATAAATATTTATTTGTTCCCTGTCATGTGCTAGGACTATGCTAGGCACTTGGTGTGTATCAGTGAGTACAGGAAAGCAAAACAATTTCTGCCCTCATGGAGTTTGTATTCTACTGGGTGCTTGGGGGGACAATAAACATCAGAAGTAAAGCTTAGAGAAGCTAGAATGGTAAGTGCAATAGGAAAAAAAATAGGGCAGGGTCAGGGGACGGGTTGCAGTTGTAACCAGGATGATCATGACTGTGACAGTCAAGCAGAGACTTAAGAAAGTGAGGAAACAAGCCTGGTGGCCTTAAGGAGGGAAAAGCAAGGAGCTCCTCTAAGGTGAGTAGGGGACAGCAAGAGTGAGCTAGGGAGGAAGAGTTTGGACAGGTAGTGGAGGGTGGGCTGAGTTAGGGAGGAGAGAAGTGCCTACCACCATTGGTCTGTGCAGGCCTGGGTGGGGGGAGCTAAACTGGAGTTGGATACAGAGACCAAGCAGGGCCAGCATGGTGTTCATGTCCCATCTGGCCATCCGACTCCCCTTCTTTCTTTCCTTCAGTCTGGTAGGCTCTAGATGACCTGCTGTATCCTTAGAATTGCACAGAGTCCAAGAATTTCCCTGAAAGAGGCAGGTGGCAGAGGAGTGAGCTCAGGCTCCTTACTGGATAGGCCCCTTTTCCTCGGACCACTCTTTCACCTCCTCCCAGCCCAACCCCACCCCTTTGCAGGGTAGCAGTCTTCCAGCTCCAGCAGCCTCTCCCAGACTCCCCTGTGTGCTTAGACCTGGGTGTGACCTTGGCCTTGTGTTTATTTCTACATATGGGCCTGGGGTTGTGAGWGAGGAGGAGTTGGAGATGATCACATCTAACCTTGGGTGGACTCACCCACATTGGCCCCAAACTCAATTCTGAGGCCCCTTATTTGGTTTCAGCAGTCTTCACAGTTAAGTGGGACGTGTCTTGGCACAACATAGATGCTGAATGATTAGTGAATGTTTCTGAGCTGAGGGGCCCCCCAGAAACATCAGCAACTCTGAAATGGAGGGAAGTGAATGAAGGGACAGGCCACCTCTGCCCTAAAGTGGGCAACCCAGAATGGGGCTTTGCTTCTTCTACTCCTCTCCCCCTCCCCCAGCCCCCAGTTCCCCAGGAGGAACCCCAGGCTGCAGGAGCCAGCTGACTGCAAGAACTGCACTCAACCACTTAACTAGAGAACAACTACGGAGCCAGAGAAGAGGTTTTCTGGGATCTGCCACTTTGGAGCTTCAAATCTCAAAATAAACTTTCAGTCTCAAGGTCCTAGATACTATTGGAGAGCTCAGCTCCTCACGCAAGGGCCAGTTTGGGGGCTTCCAGGCAGAGGGTCAAGGCCAGAGGCTCAGGCTAGCTCCCGACCTGTTTCTCTGGCTTATCCCCAAACCCACTGGAGTCAGGGGGAAGAGTTTCCGGTTTGAGACTCAAGTACTGGTTTCCACGGCCCTGCATGGAGTCAAGTCAGCACTTATTAAGCACCTGCTGTATGCCCACCACTGGCTAGGGCATCCTAAATGACATGGAAGGAGAATGGAAGGAGAAAAAGTTCTTACTCCAGAGGCATTTTCATGCAAATGTAATAAAGCCAGCTGAGGATGGTACTCTAGGTTCTGCTGGGGTTCAAGGCTAAATACTGCAGACATGTTGTGCAGTAGCATCAGTAGAGACCTGGGCAAGAATCCCAGGCCACCCCCCTACCCCCCATCCCACTCCCCCTCGGGCTGCCAGATTCTCTGGAGCTTCCAGCAGACAGCTTCCACCTAACCATCAGAGCTGGTTTTCCTTATGGTGCCACTACAGCCCCCTGCCCTTTGCATAAGTGGGTGCCGAAAGGGGAAAGGTTCCCTCTCACCCTTGATGTTTCATCTCACGCTCTGCTCCCCAGTGAGGCCACTTAGGGTTAAGATCCATTTTTCACCCTATTCTCAGCTGTATATAGATGAATGACTTTGAATTCTTACTGGCCCTTGGATGGGAGTGGAGATGAGCTAAGGGGAGCTGGGTGTGGGTAAACAGCTCTTACTCCGCCCTGGCCTATCCTCCAGAAGGCCCCCCTTTCCTGGGCCCCTTTGGCGATGACCTTCTCTTTCCCGGTGGGTGGGAGATGGTGTGGATGGTAATGAGCAGAGAGAAAGGCCAAGAAGGGGCTGGGGGGAGGTTTGGATGGGAGTCAAGGAATTCCTGAGCCTGCTACTTGCACAAGGGCCCCCCCCCCCCCCCAGAAGCCTTTCCTGAGATTTCTTTGCAAACCAAGGCAGGTCTCATTTGAATTGGGGCCAGGTTCACACAGGCCCCTAGTACTCCACCTCCTGCCCCTGGGCACCATGCAGAGAAAAGAGAGCTTGGGAAGAACCCGGGGCTTTTAAGGGGGGTAATGTGGGGATCCATGCTTTCTACACAGCCTGGCTGGCCTCTTCTTGGTATTTATGAGCTCCCAGGCAAGACGTGGAACGTGTCTCAAAGAGGCCAGGCCAAACAGGCTTCGGAGGGAAGGAGCATCCAGCCCCTAATCAAGGGAAGGGCTTGGTGGGGCAGTGTCCTCTGCATCCAGCTAGTGGCTAAACAGGGAGGGCAAACTACTCTCTAGGACACAAGGAAAAGAGGGATTCAGGAACTAGGGGAAAGAGGAGATTTGGGGAGGCAGGATCACCAGGGCAAGGCATAAAGCGGGGGGTCTGGGGCCTTTTAGCATTTTGGCTGTAATCAGTCTGGAGCCAGGCGGTGGGCGGGCTGACGGCCATCCTGGGCGGGTGGCCCAGGTTCTGTGTGAGGCCAGTGGGTGTGCTGCTGGGATCTTGGGTGGTCACTGACCGACCTCTTCCCAAGGGAGTGTTCCCATTTTGTCCCCAGACCCTTTTTCCAGTCTGCCTGTAGAAAATAGGCTAAGCATTGAGCTTTTTTTTCTCTCCCCACCACCTGTTCTGGGCCCCCCAAATGATCTGGAAGGGTGATTTACTTCCAGTAAACAAATATCTGCAGATCCCACTATCTGCGTTATTCTCCTCTGCCCTCCTCAGCCCACTCTGCCCCTGTTCTCATGCTCTCCCTGTCTTTCATCTCGGGTTCCATCTCTCTCTGGGTCTCTCAATGGCTTGTGTACTCCACGTGTATTCCTCTCTTTCTCTTTGGGTTTGTCTCCCCGTGTTTCTATGTCTGCCTGCCTTTCAACCCTGTCTGAATGTCTGTCTGTCCCTCTTTCTAAACTCTGTCTCTTGTCTATCTCTGCAGGCTGTGTTATTCTGTCTCAGCACGTGTCTTTCTTTCCCTCTTTGTCTGAATCTGTACAACTGTTGGTCTTGCTCTTCTTTCTCTCCCTATTTCTGTCTTTTTTTTTTTTTTTGCCTCTTTGTGGCTTTCTCAGTCTGTGTGTGCATGTGTGCCTGCCTGCCTGTCTTTTCCTTTGTGTGTGGCTTTCCCCCTGTCTCTCACCTGCTCTGTTTTACACTTTCCCTGTGCATCTCCTGCAACACAATTCAACGTACACCTGACAAGAAAAAAATC